TAGATCCCTATTCTCATTGCTCCATTCATTAAAAGGTACTTGAGTTTTCATGTCATTCACAAGTTTAAATGGTGCAATGTAATCTTCTTTAACCAACATCCACATACGATAGTCTGTAGACTGTAAAAAAGTAGACATTCTAATTTTTCAAAAATCAAATGGAATATTGTCAAACAAAGGTAGATGGGTTATAGAATAACCCTCCACAGTATTATGATTACAAAAATGAGTCATGATGATTTTTCAAGGTTTTCTAAAATACTATTTTTGAAATCTTGCTCTGATACCAATTGAAAGTACAAGATGCGCCAAGAGAGGGAGAGGGGATGAATTGAAAATTTGTTGCAATAAAAAGACAATCCTAAACATGAGTTCTATTTTTTTGTGTTTTTAAAATTTAAACAAGAAAATTAAATTAATGAGGAAGTGAATGCTTAAAACACAATTGCAACAATAGGTGGTGAAATTTTAACTTACTCAACAAAGAATTTCACTATAATTTTCACCAAGAAATTATAACAAAAGTAAAATACAAAATATAAATAAAGTGCATTAAGAGAAAAATCACACCAGAGAATTTATAGTGGTTCGGTTACTTGAACTACGTCCACTCCCCGGAGTCCTTCACTCTGAGAATTTCATTACTAAACAACAATTCTCTTTTTTCCCCCACAGTAAGGCGGAGAAGCCTTTACAAACCTCACTTCCACCTTCTCGGCATAGCGGAGTGCTAAGCGCTATGTCACCCGCCCGGTGACGGTAGTGAACCTTCTTATTTCCACCTTCCGGTAGAGTACTTTAGAGGACTCATACCTAGAAAGATCTGCCCCTTAGATAGCTTCTCACAAGATTTTCTTTGGCCACAGGAGGAGCAACGTGCAACAAGCTAGAAGTAATCGTGTGATCTCCCTCATAAAGCTCACCTTCTCCTTTTTCTCACAAACCCCAAAATCTTCTCAAGAGCTCTCTCTCTCAAGAAATCACCTTCTAGTCACGTTCCTCTCTCACACATTAATCTCAAAAGACAGAAAATTAGATACTTAAATCAAGCTCCAAGAAACTCTAAAATTTTCAATTTAGTCGTTATGATCGTACATTACGATCCAATATTGTACAGTATGATCAGTTCAAAACAACCTTCATCCTGGTACAAAGGATTACGAATAGGCTTTTTTTTAACAATATCGTACATTATGATATAACATCATCTAGTACGATATGTAAATTCCTTTTGTTCATACAAGACGATTGGTGGGACGACGAAAACTTGTCACTGTACGTTGTATGGTACGATCCACTTTGTACAGCACTATTAGTTCAAAATGAAGGGATCATCCAGTACGATGTCTGAGACGATAGAAAACAGTCTCGGTTGATCGTACAGTACGACCTATGTCATACAGTACGATAACCAATCAGAAATTAATCATTGATTTACTCACTAATCACGAGGTTAATTTAAGTAAGTATTCAAAAACTCGTACTGTACGATCAGATCATACAGTACGATCAATTCAAAATTTATGAATTAAGAACTTAAATTAATCTGGCGGCTGGAGTTTTTAATTAGAAACACATCGTACAATACGATAAGTATCATACAGTATGATTTGTTCCCAAATAGCGGTTGAGCAAGAGCATATCGTATAGTACGAATAAAACTCGTACAGTTCGATCGACAGAGAAAAAATTTTCTTTATTTTAAAAAAAAACTCTCCCCCTGTGTGAATGCATGGTTGCTCAATTTTGCTTACATTTTGTGGACAGACTCAAGAAAAAAAATAATAAAAAAGGAAAATTACAGGGTATAGACTCCAAATCCTACTCTACCCAGTCTTGAATATTATTGTTGTCCTGAGTAATTTGTGATCTCCTTGAAATATTAGTACTTATAGATAAGAGAAGAAATAAAAAATATTTAATAAATAATAATTCAATCTACATTATTTGTCATCATCAAAATCTCATATTAAGGGTCATGAACTGCAACAATTTCTTTTACACATTGTTACTTTTTTTAGCTAACCAAATAGCTCCTTAATATAACACTGTGAAGAAAAAATGATTCATGTAGATGACCCCATGTAATGGGATAAAACCATGATATTATTTTGTTGTTGTTGGCAAGAAATGAAATTTGTGATCAACATGCGTGCATATAAACCTATGATGCACCGACACTCTGCTTAAAAGGAGAATACAGTGTCGAACACAGACACACGCCCAACGCGGCAGGGACATGTGTCAGACACGGGATTAGCGTGTCAAATTAAAAAAAATTGAAACGGACTTGCGTGTCCTAATATTTAATAATTAAATTTAAGTAAATTATAAAATCTTTACATATCAAGTATATCTGGATCCGGTATTCACGTATACGCCTTAGGTTTTCAATTTCACACTCTCGTATTCCTTTACGACGCGACCAGACGAGTAAGGTGAGGTCTCTAGCCATAGTCTTCGTCATTTCTACGCGCACGCAAGGCCAAATCAAGCACGTCTTCTTCGGCCTCCTCGTTCCTTCGTATTTGGCCAACCTCCATTCATCATTTTTGCATGCAAGCGAGCCAACCGAGCACGATTTTAAGCAATGTAAGTTTGATTGAAGTAGTTTTCTCTTCTCTTCATTTTCGTTCAATCATTCATCATCTCTTCATTTCCCATTGAAGTGTTCCAACTTGTGACACTTGTGTGTGCTCTATCAAAGGCATAGGAGGGAGTGTTGAAGGACGAGGAGGGAGAGTGGCGTGAGCCAAACGACTGAAGCCTGGTATATATTTTTGAGCATCTCCAACCGAACGCGAAACGAGCATATGGCATCGTTCGGTCGCTCCAGCCGAACGCCAAATTTTCCGCCATTTACTTGCGTGTGAACAGTGCAACATCAATATTGGCATTGCACTGTTCACCTACGCTATTTTGCTCTCTTAACCGAAAAAATGCGTGAAAGGGAGAAGGATCGTTACCTTCGCAAAAACACATAAAATGGCGTTCGATTGGAGCAGCACTACGCTTTTTTTCCATGGGATGATGACAAAGGTATATCTAGATAAACCCTAATAAAATTATGCATTTTAATGTTTTGTATTTGTGTGATTGCTTATGTTAGGAGTTGTTTTATTTTGTAATTTGAAATGCAACATAATGCAGAATTCAGTGTTATCTTGTAATATATAAATTTCATTTTATTGTTTGTTGTTAGCCATCAATATGGCTGAAATTTATATAGAATCCTTACTGGTTGAATTGGCACAAAGACTTCAGTAATAAAGAAGACAGTTTTGAACTATATGGACATTATCAGTAAGATGTTCCAGAACCAACCAATCCTTAGCATGTTACTCTGTTTAGTTGCTAGCTTTTTAAAGCCTACCCAAAAAAATTTCAAGTAAAAAAAAAAAAAAAAAAAAAAAAAAAACTTAAGTTGCTAGCTTTTACAACATAAGGCTAATTTAATTTTTATTACTATCTGTTTTGTTTTCCTCTAATTTAAAAATTAAAGTGTTTGGTTAGCTAAAAAGTAAATTCAAAGTATATTTTCTCCCAATTTATTAAGACTTTATTTCTTCCATTTCACCCGTGCTTTTAAAAATAAAATAAACTCTAGTGCTGGTGGGATTGGATTAGGCGAAGGTTCAAAAGAGCCTTGTGTAGAAACTAATAAGCCCTTATGAAATTATGTTACAAAGTTAAGAAAAAACTTTTAAATGAGGGGAAAATATGTCATTCAAATGCAATTATTATAGTGTCACCTACAAATGATTATATTCTAGGGTGAAAGCATATCTACTTAAGATTGATGGTCATAGAATTAAAAATATGTCCTAAAATTACTACTTCACAATTGATTGAGTTGAAAAGACAGGTTGTTAAAGCTGAATTCAGGATCAAAAGGGCACTTCCTAAAGATATACCTTTGTCATCATCCCATGGTTCATCTCACACTTCTTCCTCTTCCGTTTGAGTTGATGGTTCATCTCACACTTCTTCCTCTTCCGTTAGAGTTGATCATGTAGTTCATTTAGGAGTGAAGGATATGTAACAAAGAAAAGAAAAGGAGTTGCCAGTTCTTTAGAGAAGGTTTTTAACATACAGATGTGAGAGCAATTTGATGGAAAAATTGCAATGATGTTCTTTTTAGCGGGACTTTCTTTCAACCTTGCAAGGAATCCTTATTATAGAAATGCATACACTTTTACATGTAATAACCTTACAAGTTATGTTCCACTTGGATTCACTGTAATAAGATCAAACTTATTTAAAAGGAAAAAAGCAAATATTAAGACATTACTTGGTCAAGTTTCATCATCCGCTTGTTGTGAGAGAAATTGGAGCACATACTCATTTATTCAATTGATGAAGAGGAATAAAATTACTCCACAGCATGCTAAAGATTTAATTTATGTGCATATAAATCTTCATTTTCTATCAAGGAAGACCCCACTTTATCTAGCAGGTGATAACAATATATTGGATGCTGCTGGAGATGGGTTCGAGTCCCTTGATGATATGGGAATATTGGAAATTGCAAATCTTTTTCTTGATGAACCAGGGTTGAAAGCAATAATATTCAATGATTATGATATTGAAGGCCAAATATAAACTTTTGAAGCTAATCCTATCATTCCCTCTACTAAGTAGTTAAAACTTGATGTACTAAATTAATTTTTGCTTATATTTTTGTGATCATATTTTTGTAATCGTATTAAACATTTTGTACTAAAAATTTTATATTATAAGCTAAACAAACTATCATGACATTGATTTATTATTATTTGTCATTTCTAATATGATTTTATCTTAATTTCTATATACTATATTAAAAAAATTATTATGCCGTGTCCACACCATGCCGCACACATCCTATATTTATTTTTTTTTTAAAAAAAGTCATGTCCTGTGTCAATGTCGTGTCCGTATCCGTGCATCATAGATATAGACAATCAAGATAATTAGAAAATTTCCAGAACCAGATGCTATTAATTAACTCCTAGAATTTCTTTTTTTTTTCTTCATTTACTCCACAGTTTAGGACTAAAAGAGCAACAAAGCTACCATGAAGGGTAGGTTCAGACATAATATAAAGAAGCAAATGAAAACAAACAACTAGTCTCGCTGGAACTAATGAATGATGCAAAGACAAAATAATGTTATAATGAACCTATTCAAAATCAGCTAATTTCTCGGAAAAAACGCTAAATTTGCTATAAAGCACCCAAAGCGAAAAAGAATGAAATAAAACAAGTAAATGGAAATCTCAAAAAAACTGAATACATCATTTTCAGCAAAACTTCACTTTTGGAAGGATACTTTAACTAGGTAGAGGATGCTTTGAGCAATATCAATAGCAGCATTGGGAAGCGCAGATTTTAGTGCCTTTTCAGACATCTCTTCCATTAAATCCTCATCCCCTGAAAATTAAACACCATTGAAATATATCTATAGCTAGAAAAAAAAAAAAAAAGGCTTTGCTGACAAAAAGAGAATCATCTGGAGCTGTTCAAATGAATCAAACCATTATTTTAATATATGAAATTTGAGGTGTATACAAGAAAAAAAAAAAGGTTTATGGCGTCTATTCTATTCGAAAAAGTAGGGAATGCAAGCACCTCGATTCACCTATATTTTGTTTAAGCCAGCCCTAAGCCAAGAAAAAGTTATTCTGAAAATCATCCTGTGTTTACGGTAAGGCCATATTGCAGAACCATCCCACTGCCAAAACTCTCTGTTGATTACCAGAAAAACTTCCGTGCTTGGTAGAACGTTTCTGCTGTAGTTACTCATTTACTATAAAGCTAATGAGTTATGAGGATTATAACGATGGCATGCTGTTGAATGCATATTTTCCTTCAAAAAGTACATAAAATGCAAACATATAGTGTCGGAATTATAGAGCCAAACTTTTACATACTAAAATATCACCTATATATGACTAAATCTACTTTCAAATGCAAATTTTCTATCAATCCTTCTTTTTTAGGCTACAGGAATATTTTGAAAATCTTGTATTAATGTAATATATATATATATATATACATCTCTAAGCTCATTCATCATTACCACCAAAAATGGTCTTAAAAAGGGGTTTGCATCACACAGCCAGCAAATACAGAGGAGAGACGGATGGAAGTAGGACTGCCAACTGAGAGAGAAAAAAGGGAGATTTTATTTTATTTTTTGTGCTTGCAATAGAGAGACCTACTACTTCAAAATGAATGAGATGTTGCTAGTTTCAGTTTCATTAGAAGGCGAAACTTCCTAGGTAGAAACTCTGGAATAGAATAGGGTAGGGCTAATAACACTAGCAAAGTCTTCGCCTTATTCAACCCTTATCTTTGTAGTTGCTATTTGTGTTTTCTCTTGTTCATTGATAAAAAAAAAAAAGATATTTTTATTTTTATTTTCAATTATATGAAGAAGTTTTTTTAATGTACCTTTCTTTTATAGCTTAGTAGAATATTTGCTATGTATGAGATCATGGATATAAGTAGATCTCATCAAATCATACAAATTTATCTTATGTTTGTGATAAGTATTTTTTTCGTAAGTTTGCTTTAATTTTTGCTCAATTTTAAGACTATCTTAACAAATAAATTTAATATATTATACAACACAATTGGAACAAATGAAAAGTATGGATTCATAAAGCCAATACTGAATAAATGATAAAGCCAATACTATATAATTGACATAAGACTAATCATAAAGAAGAAGATGGCGTATGATTATTTTCAAGAAGTAGAGACCCTCCGTTGTTGCCTTGTTTAGAGGGTTGTTTGTTAATTTAAGTGGCATGAATCAACAATTCTATATATAATGACTGTAAAAGATGAATTAAACACGGAATTTTCTATCCTAAGCTTGATTTAAAGTTATACATTTCATGTATCGTAAATGAACTCAATCTCAAGCTATACGTTAGTTAACACATGAGATCACCGGTTATGCCAGTCTAAACAATTTAATCTAAGTTCCGGAGTAATAAGTGAGCTAATAGATATATTATGCTTATATTCTTAAGGAAAAGTGAACGGACAAAAGCAATTTGAAAACAATAATGATGATAAAAATAATAATAAGCATAAAATACCATAAACTAGTGACACTAGATCTATGTGATTAAGCAGAGTTCACTGACATCCATGACTGTGAAGATTGAAGAGACAATTGTCTAGATATGATCCTTATTATAAATATTTTTCCCCCACTTTTATCTGTCTTACTTTTTTCTTCTTTGAATCTCTCTAATCTCTCTATTCTCTGGATTTTTATCTAACCAAATCAAAACTAAACAGCTTAAAATGGTTAAGATATAGATATATAAATATATTATACTTTTTCATCATTTTCAACCCTAGTTTCCTTCCTATATGTTCCCAGCTGCAAAGCAGCTACTGCCAAACATGCTGTGGATGCCAACCACCTCTGCATGGCCTTGCTACCGCTAAATCAATACTGCCAGACTTCAAACAGAGGCGGCACCAAAAAGATAAATCCTGGTGTTAACTCAAAGCTATGGTCCTAAATAATTCGAATCAAGTGAAGGACCTCATATTACATATCAGTTGAGCACAACACATATCCAATGTTCATGCATAAACTACTTCAAAAATTCAAAATAACTATAACAGTATTTTTAGGTACTATGATGAAAAGAATAGATGATATTCAGGTTACCTAAAACCGCATCAATTGTAGTTGCAAGGCTGCTAGAGTCAAGTTCATCTTCAGTTAAAATCTTTGATCCAGCTACATCGGACATTATAAGAGCATTTTTAGTTTGGTGATCTTCTGCAACATATGGCGAAGGTATCTGGAGGAATATATAAGCTATTACAAAAAGAAATGTATATGAAAGAAGTAATAAAAAAACTTGATCTGTAAACGGAGCATTAAAAGGTTTGAGCTCCCATGGCGAAGTTCTATCCAACAACCTTGTACTTTAAGGAAGAACTACAACTCATTCAGATTTAAAGGCTCAAGTTATCAAAGGAAATTTCTTAAGATCAAGGTTCAACTAAATTTTCAAGAAAAAAATTTGAGAAAAAAAAAAGGTTCAACTAAATGGCGACAGTTTTTGTAATTTAAGATCTACTAATAATTCCTCTTGCTTGCTTTTTATGTGCTTAAAGTAAATCATCATTATTATCACCACCATTAGACTTACCCCAACCATTTACAGTGGCTTTTTCAAATTCTTATTCTCCATTCATTCTAGTTTAGTATTGCTTGATGTGTTGAACCTATTTTCTACTTCTTCTTTTTTTTGCACAACTTAATCCAAGTTATCTTTGGCCCACATATTTTCTTACCTTATCTTTTTATAGTAACTTTATCTAACTTAGTGGTGCATCCTTTGTTGATTCTATAATTTTTATGATAGTGAATATATGACTGGTGGATTTAATGTTTTGGTACCAATGATTGCAGGATGATTTGGAAACATTATTCATATAGTTTGGTGCAAGGGTGCATTAGTGAACAAATGCAATCAAAAGCTCTATGAAAACTTGAGTTAGTATGTGTAGGTAAGTAAGCAAGCCAAAGTGAGCGAGCTTGCTATGTATTCATATTCAACATCTTTAAATTTCAATGTATTTGCATTTTGCAGGTCGATTTCGAATAAATAAAAAGAGATAAATAATGAGCCAAACAAAATAGAATCATTCTGTATATATGCTATCTAATTAATAAATCTAAAAAAATAAAATTAATAATATATAATTCAAATCTGTACATATAGATTATTTTTGTCAAGGTAATAATGAGCCAAACATGATCGAATAAATCTTGATTTGCATTTGGCTGGTTAACAAAATGATTTTAAATAATTGTTCAAAATCAACTTGCTTACTTAATAAACCTTATTTGCCACTGGAGCTATTCCAACTTTCTCACATATATACTCATTTCGCATTTTACCTCTAAGGGTGAAGCTACTCATCCACCTGAGCATCCTCATCTCTACAACACTTTCACCACCATCGCATAGAATGTTCCCTTAAGTTTGAGGTGTACTTTTCTATCACACAATAGACCCAATGCATTCCTTCACTTCAACCACCCAACATGAATTATATTAATAATATCCCCATCTATTTCACCATCAATTTGAACAATAGATCCGATATATCTAAAACGTGTACTCTTATTAATGACATGATCTCCCAAAATCACATCAGGCGAGCGGGCGGCTGTGGGCTCCGAAAATTCAGCCCCGGCCTCCGCCCGCTATACTTTTTTTCGGGGAGTTTTAACGGAATTAAGTTATGGGGTAAATTTTGGGAAGGTAGATAGGTTTGTAGATAAGACACTACCCAGAAATTTCGCCCTCATTTTGCGAGGACTTTATGATCTGAGTTCTTGTTTCCTATAAGCGCAAGCCCCTATAGTTAATTATCCCTCCTGATAACGAGAGAGAACTTTCAATTAAGGCTAGTCTTCAACCAGATACATTGTATCCATAGATACGTAGCATCAGGTGTATAGTAGCAGCATGGGCTTAAAAATTTGGAATTTTAAAGATTTGATATCTAAAATAGAAATAAGTAGATGGTGGGGGGAATGGATTATGGACCTGATCAAGATCACATGGTTTCGTCGTCCCGGACTATCGTGGTCCCTGGTCTACTTAGTCAGAGGAGGCAGTCGACCCAACCTGACAGAAGAGTACCTTATAGACATGGGGTGGATGTTTTTCTAAAGGGACACATTTGAATCCACCTTAGCTAACAGAGGGCTTAGTGTTCTATCAATCATATCCTATTGATTCATATCTTAAGGATTTGATGCCACTAAGAAATGTATTGGATCTGATCATAACCGATATTTCGTGATACCATTTAACGATAAAACCACTTAGTTCAGAGGACTCCGGATCATAAATATTTATCCTGCGGTGCCATTTGGTGGCAAAACCGCCGGTCAGACGACACGTATCACGTCCTTATTGGAAGGAGATTATTTGAGAATGGATCCTAGTGATATTTTTTACTAGGAAGCTCTTTGTGAACTGAAGTAAATTTCAATTTGTCCACCTCGGCAAACTGTTGCAGATGGTGGATGGATTTTGCTTTAAGAGTTTAATAGTATTGAATTTCAATTTTAAACATTTGGATTTGACATTTTTGAGATTTTTGGATTTTGGATTTTATGGGTATTTGAGTGACATTTTGAAATATTTGAAATTAACCCCTCCGGTTGAGATTTGCATTCAACGCATCCATCAACGAGGTGTGGGGCCATTTTCATTTGAAAATATTTGCATTTTATGGATGAACCTTGTCGACTCTGTCAAGCTGTCAACAGAAGATCGGGTTTCGTAGGCTTTATGCCTTTGTTTGTGAATTTTCTTTATTAAAGGCCTTAAAGGCCTAATATGAATGTATAAAATAAATATCCAGTCAACCTCGCGGTCGTATATTTATTTAATGATTCGAGCCTTGTCGACTCCAATCTAATTGCATAGAAGGATCGAGCTTGAACTTGGATTTATATACTGACCCGCACAGCATCCCTAGACGTCACGTGTGTTCTCACAACACGCTCATCGGGACCCATGCGAGTGTTTGGAGCATTTTATAATTATTTGTTGAATCATGTCGACTCCTATTTATCTGCTTAAAAGGATCGAGTTCAATTTATTGATCCGTGCAGCATCCCTAAACGTCACGTGTGTTCTCACAACACACTAGTCGGGGCCCATGTGGGTCTTGTGATTGCACTTATCCTTTTTGTGTACTTATATATATACAAATTATGATGCATGTGCAGGGGTACTTTAAAATATTTGTAAACTCTTTCTGTTTGCTTGCATGAATGTTGCGGATCCAGTGGAGTGACGTATCAATTTCTGAATTAAGTTGTTTGCTGCTTTGTTATAGATTGTCATGCACTACTCACTTATTTATGATTTTATGATTAAAAAATAATCAAAGGAAAAATAGATAATTTATTTTATTTTAAAAATTAAACAAATTTTATTCTTTTTTTATTTTAACTTCTATTAGAAAGGGCCAAAAGTAGTTTTAAAAACTTAAAAACAAATTACAACTGAAAAAATAATAATATAATCTACATCTTGGTATGCTAATCAAAGTATTCGTGAATATTGCAATAACTGTGATGCATAAAAAGATGTCAGAATCTCTCAATAGTCAACTTGAACAACTAGTAAGAGATAATAAAGTTTACAGATGTTGTCTGCATTAATTCTGTATTAGATTGATAAGTGCTTTCAAATAATAAGTGCTTTCCACAGGTGGATCATAGTGCACTAACGAATCTCCTGCTTTATTTGCAGACGTATCATACCCTTTGCATGTTGTACATGAGAAAAGCTTTTATACTTGCTTGCGGATACCCTTACAATTGCTTGTAAATACTCATATTTGCAGTGGATTCATATTTCTTGCTTGCATATGAACTATTTCTTTCACTGTCGTATGTGGACAAGTAAAGCTGAGTACAAATCTTCTAGTTTGACCCATAGGTAGACTAACGCATGCATGATGGATCACTTACTATTATTTGCAAACAGGGGTTCACATTTACAATAATTCTTCCTACACTTGCTTGCAGGTAATGTGTTGGATATGGAAAACGATTCCTTGCAGCATTTTGTAAGTAATTATATTGGTCGCCAATCAATCGCTTGTTGCTTGCGATGGATCTCTACTTTAGACAGTCATTGTATAACTATTGACTTGTATGTACTGCAAGTATACAAGCCTTGCCCGTGGATGATATGTTGCATGTATATTTATATCCATGGAATGTCAATCATCCTCGCAAACTTTCTGTTGTTGTTGTTTGCAAAGACCACCATGTCTTCTTGCAAGACTATGGTGGACACTACACATTGACTGTCATTATTTGTATGCATGAGAGATCTCCTACACTAGTTTGTAGGTACTTGCATTTGTTGTAGTTTTTCTATATGTACGATAGCCTTTAACCCTTTGTTTGTGAACAATGTACGGCATATCCATGCTTGTAGAGGGACCCATTACACTGTAATGCATCTACTATCATCATTTACAACTGGATTAATGTGCTTATTTGCAAACTGTTGTTGCTCACTACATGTATTGCATTTTCTATCAGTTTCTTTATTTATGCTGATCGACATCAGTTACAAGCAATTTATATTCACTATAATGTCTCCAAGCATATTTTGTTGGTGGGTTATCGTCCCCTTTACATGTCCACTATCGCATTTACTAATAACTCCATTCACTTGCTTTCAAGCTTCTTTATCTAGATTCAGGGACTAACTGTCAAGAACAATACAAGCTCGATGTTATTTGTATCATTCTTTTAGTGGATTGACTTATTCATCAGGAGCTTTCTCTTTTTTTTTTTAGTGAATCAATACTGTCATTGTGCGTTTTCTATATCCATTTATAAGCAACCTATTACATTCATCATGGATTCCCTTACATGATGGATGGATCATTATATTGCTTCTCCTCTGATACACGTTTGTAGGTGGTCACATTCGTCAAAAAGTCCTTTTCGCATATGTATGTAGTACACATATCTCTCATAAGATAGCCAACATTGGTGATATGCATGATATCTCCTCAATAGTTTCCTTGCAATTATTTGCAGATAAGTTGCATTCGTTGTGAGTTTCATTTAGGTGATTAGGGTCATTTGTCAATATTTGCATTTTAACCATGAATTCATCATCTTGCAAATTATAATTGCATTTGACATGTCCCCTGCTGTCCAAATTACAAATTCATATTGTTGTCATTTAATTCAATCAAGTTCATGTCATTCATAGTTTGCTCAAGTCCGTCGAAGGTT